ATATATATATATATATATATATATATATATATATATATATATATATATATATATATATATATATATGCTCAAAGTTTCTGTTAAAATTTCCCATCTTTTAATGCATTTTGTGGGCTGCTGTAAAAGATTTACAATGAAAGATATGAAGTGGGAGACATGATGTATTAAATGAGCAATAGATGTTTACCAGATAGAAATCTCGAGTAGAGTTTTAACTTGCAAACTTCTCTTCAGTATAATGCGAATTACAACATTTTCACAACTTTTGGACATAATCGTCACTCATCGTGCAAATATTTGAGGTGGCAAACCTGTTATAGATAATCATAGCATCTTCAACTGCTTGTTCATTACTTTGCGTTAACGGTAACTGTTTAGCAAAGCTCTCAGCGGAAATAATAAATTCTACTAATTTCCCACCGTCTTCATTTTCCATATACTGAAATCATACCAAATTCTCAACACTTATCCAGATTTTCAAAGAAAGTCTAATAAAAGTTCCGAAATATTAAAACAGATTAAAAAATTGAAACCATAAATTAGAAAACTATACAACCCAACACTTTATCATTGTGAATTTCTCAAAGTAATCTGACAAGAGCGTGATGATGACAAGAACAGTATACGACAGATACAAATCTAAGGAAAACAATATAAAAAAGGATATTACTGAATTTAAAAAACGAAGTGAACTGCCGCAAGAGGCGTGCTAACAGCAGTATCTTTTTGGTACTTACATCATATAATTTAATTTTGGTATTTACATCTTTTTTGTTTATATAAATATCAGTTAATTTATAGACATACACTACTTTACGCAATCAACCGTTGCAAATTAAATACATATAGGTTTTAAACTGCTAAATCCACTCAGCTCCGAAAAAAAAGAATTATTTCTTAATTGATCGCAAAAATCCAAAATAAGCATAAAACAAAACCGAAATTTAATGGAAAGTACACCTACCTCGACAAATGCGCATAGAAGTGGTTGACATAGCATAATATCCTTTATTGTAAGTGCTCCACTGCTGATAACGTCTATGCGGTGTTTAGCGTAATACGTACTACTTTCAAACTCTTTGAAGTACCTGCAGAACCAGTTCGGATTGACAAAACATGTTGGCAAATGAGACCAAAGAATATCATAAATTGTAGAAATTTCCAGTATTTCAACACTTTAATTTTCAGATATTACAGATTTTCAAGCTGGGCAGTGAAGGATTATTTATTATTGAAAGGACTTTTGTATAAACTTCAGGAGCCTTTTTCCTTCGAAGGGACATGGGAAAAACGGCTATGATATATTGACTGTTTTTTAAAAAGGATTTTAAAAAAATAACTAAAATGCATGAGGAAAGATTATGAAGAAAATTAGTAAAAACAGACAAAAATTCTTAAATTTAAATGAAAACCAATACAAACCGACTTTCCATGACGTTAAAAACAAAGCTTTGTGCCTCAGAAAAGCAACAAGGATCGAAAGACCCATTTTTAGCATTTATTCGTTCTGCAAAAAAAAGCCTCAGATAAAGAAATCTTGAAAAAATTTTGCAAAAACTTCAGTGAAATTAATAAATGCTCCTGCTCTCAATAATCCGACAACATTACAAATACCATAATCATAATTGTCATCATGACAACGGTAACTACGACGAGAATAACAGTCGAATTATGAATTAAGAATCACAACTGGCACAAAAACAGTTATTTATTCAATTGTCTTACGATGGCCAATCGTTTCAGATTTCTTTTTTGCCTCTCCATCATTATCACTACAAAAAAAATATTCCAGTATCTGGGATAGAAAATAAGCCTTAGTGCCTCAAATCATATCATTCTTCAATATGCAGTGATCGAAGCCACTATGGTCAGTAACTATCCAACAATGAATAATTTACCCAATACCACTTTCCGCAAATGATCAGTGATATTGATTGAACAGGATGCATCTTCGCTTATATATTTCAAATAAATACGAATCGCATCATTTTTGATCACTGAAATGGGGTATTTAATTGTAACGCCATAGTTAATCAACTGAAAAGCTGTTATAAACTGAATAAAGAAATTTTTCAGTGAGAATAAAGAGAAGTTGCATAGTACGTGAATATACATTTTGATAAAGAAAGAAAAAAATACTTGCGATCAAAGTTACGTCATTCTTTTTCACCGTAAGTGCCGAACACCGACAACTTTCAGCATGCAGCCAGAATTTGATTAAATTAAGTTGACCTAAAAGTTATGAATAATATGAATATAAATGAGTGTTGAAAAGTAAGAAACAACAAGAGAAATTACCTTTTCATCCTTAGTTTTCCGTTCTGATCAGCCTTTATCCAGGTGTTATTAAACCAGCTCTTACTTACAATGAGTTCCCAAAAATAAAAGTGGCAGCAAACTGGAAGATCATTCATCAAACAGTGTTTCAAACCAAAATCTTTCATACACTACTGATATTCATTGAATGAAGAACTTGTTACCAATTCCTTCCATAAACTGAATAAAGTACGCCAAAGCAGCAGCATCATGCAATGTTTCGTTCAGTGTATACACTAAAGCTGACTTTGGGAAATTTCGCTGAGGTGGTGGTTGTAATTCACCTGAAATGTTCAACCACCAAAAGGAGGATACCATTTGAATTCGAGAACCTGCTCCAGAAAAGTCCTAGCACAGCAGTACACTTTCTTTAATGAAGCGCTCCTTCGTTAACACCTGCAGGATGAAACTGCTGCTAATGCTAACGCCATCTGTGTTTGTTTATACAACAAACATGCCAAAATTTGTATAATCAAATGAAATTTTGAAAGATATTTAAATGAAAACAGTCATCATGGCTTTACCACTGCAGATTACAATATGCATTTCATTTGCTCTAAAGGGTTTTTCCGAAGATTAAACAAGAAAAAGCATTAAAAAATATTAAATAAACATTTTATAGCTGTCTTACTATTTACACACTTTACAACTGTGTATTAGCAAAACCCACACTTCATTATCTGATTGAAAATGGAAAAAAAACACACATCTACTTTCTGAGTAAGTTAACTCTTAAGACATAAAAGACTGAAATTCGGTATTAATCGAATATTAACTTCGATATTAGCAAAAAAACTATTAAATTATGAGTTCCTTCAAAGTTTGGAAAAAGAAATCGTCATCAGAAGCATAGCAGCTAACCTAAATCATCGTTTATTTGTACAGGAAACATGCCAAAATTTGTGTAGTCAAACGAAATTTTTAAAAGGTATTTGAAAGAAGTCGCTCATAATGACTTCTCACTACTGTTGATTATAACATTTGCATTGTTCCATCTTCTGAAAAATATGAAATTAGGCGTAGAATTTACTTGCACACTGTGCGATGAACTCATTCCTTTGCACTACAATTGCAATTAACTTATGCACACCAAACTATATCACAACTTTCAAGCTATTCTGACCGGACGATGATTCTGTCTAGAGGTCTATCGATCGGTACACCACACCTATATCGTATCTTTTCTTTTCCATGGCAAGACAAGCCTCAGCGGACTCAAAAACTTTAATGTACTTCGCCAGCACCCCGCAAAAAAAATCAAACCTGTAAGGGATTAAATGCGGCCCCTGTGTGTCATGGCTGTTTCAAACGAATTTCATTATTAGGATGAATTGTGCTAGAGGAGAGTCGTCATACGGTGATGGGTGAGTTTTTCTTCGGCATTTAATTTTGATTAAACTTGATTTTGTCCGATCATACTGGCATAGAGATAATGAAAGTGGCTTCAAGATTGTCTCTGTGGACTGACTCTCCGCTAGACAAGATTGCTTTTGGAGGTGGCTCCAGGTCGCTTGTCACACCAGCATTGTCTGTATTCGCTGATATCATTGCAGACAATCTGTTTACTTACTCTTTTTCAGCTCGAACCATTGCGGCCTGAAGGACGATGAAGATGGGAATTTGGTAAAATTCACATGCTTTTTGTGCGGTCTCACCGAGAACTGCCGTTATGGTTTGGTGGAAGTTTCGGGTCGAACGTTAGTTGTTGGCTTTCTTTTCCTTTCTCTATCCTGGATGATCTTATTCAGTTTTGCGACATAGTGCTGAAAAGTTTATTCATTCGGTCGAAATCAAGCTATATATCCTTTGTTTATTTGTCATTGGGTTTCAGAGGACATATGTGTCTTGTCTCATAAGATTAAATCATTTAATTAGACCTTTGAAAAACTCGTATCTCGTTCACTTTTCTCCGAATGAAGCGAGTTTGTCGTGAAATCTAGGAACCGTTTCTTTTCCTCGTTTCTTATTAAAAAAAACAAAACAAAGGGAGCGTTAGAGATGGACCATGATTCATACATGAAACCAACGGGTTACACTTTGAAAGCAGATGTGCTTTGATGACAAAGCATCAGTATTGTCTTGATTTGTGATTCGTTTGAATGTGTATGAATGGTGAGAAGGTTTCAAGTTAATTTCCAAGTGAGGTTCGGATTTTTTTTATTTCGAAGATAACTTTGGGAAGCATTCTCTTATAGACATAATTACCGGTACAAGGATGAAATGTACTACATGTTGGATCCATTCCGAAATCGAAATACTGTGAATGAAAGACGGCTAACTCGGACAAAGGCTAACACTTGCAGTAAGACTTCCGGGAGCAAGACTGCAAGCATTTTGGATATACTCGTTTTGGGAGCGATTTGCAGCATATGTGGACAGCCTGTCTGCATTGGTGAGGTAGATAAATGTTTGGTTTTACTGCGGTAAAAGATCGTAGCCGAAGAAGGTTTTTTTAATGGTTGCATAATGACATGCAGTTTGAACGTTAAAATCCAAACTGAGAAGCTGAATTAATTGAACTCAAAAAATTCCAAATATTAATACACGTTTTTGTTAAAGAAAAAGCTATGGACCAAAAGATCATCTTGGCTGCAAAGAAATTTTCATGCCTATAAAATTCTTGATTATTATTCCTTTTCAAATATATGGAAATGAAGGAGGAATAAGAAGTTTTCCTGGTTTTTAAAGGTTCAGAATCAAAAACTTTCGAAATAAATATTTTTTGAAATAAATATTTTTTGGAGGATTACGTTTTATTTGTTAGTGGAAGTTGCTCAATGTTAATGATTCATTTCCTTTTTGGTTAATTATGCTTTTTTTAGGATTGTGGTGTTTTCTACGCAAAAGCCTTTTGTATCGTGTGTATAAATCGAGAAAAAGCGCACTTCCCAAAAAATTTCATCGAGGTATTTTTTTTCATCTTTTTTTTTCCATATAAGTGAATTAAAAACCAGGCAACCCATGATCTAACATCATATTTCCTGAGGGGACTAGTTACGTTCCCGTCGCTGAAAGAAACATACCAGTCCTTTAAACGTTTACGTTTATTCTGGTTAGGCTGTGAGTAATACTGCGTGATCTTAGCTATTTAACACACGTGACTTTTTTCCGCTTCTTGTAGAATTGCCTCTTGCATATTTTAATCCTGTCACACAATTGCTATTCCTGTTGTGTGATGAGATGCCAGTTGCTTTTGTGACTTCGATTATAATGCTTGGTTATTAAAAGATAAGATTTTAGAAAACGTATTTTAGCTCTTTTCTTGAGCACCGAGATTCTACCTGGAAACCTAATTTTTGTTATGATTTCGGAGAAGGAACTTTTCTGAAAAATCCTCTTTTTCTAATGATTGCTGAATTTGCAGCAGATTGACGCAACTCGTAAACAGCGTAAATCTGAGCGGAAAGAAGTTACAGTGTTTGTTTGATATACAGATTGTTCATATGTATATATAAATAGGCTAAACTTTCACATCATAAATATTCTCATTCTTCTGTGACTATGACCATCACACCTGATGCAGACATTTATCATGTACTATGAAACCAGTAACATTCTTTGCAATGAGTTCCGTATCTTTACGATCTTGAAATCATGACACGTACTATATATTGGGCATGCTACAGAATGAATTTCTTCTTTCCTGAAAATTTTTTTTTTGCTGCTGGTCGCTAAATTTCATGTAATGAACATTTCCGAAGAAAAAGAATTACCCTCTTCCGAGGTTTATGGCATTGTTTGTACTACAATATTTCGTATGACCCGCATGTTGTAGTTGAAATCCAAAGTAAACTGATGTAAACCGTTGAAAAGAATCCTTCTTACCTTCCTTTATCCAATTAGTTGTCGAAGAAAACTAAATTGCAAATTCTCATAAAATATAAGCGCAATAATAATTGAATAGCAGTTTTTGCTTCAAAAATTTTGAGAAGACTCAGTCAGTTCAGCTGGCTTGGCTTAGCTGCTTGTAATGAGTGCAACAAATCTGCATGACTAAATAATAAGTTCTGTAATTGTTACTGCGGTTCGCATAAGTGTCAGAGGAAACGAATCGCAAATAAAAAGGATTATTAATTTCAAATAAAAGAGGGAAGATGTTCGTTTTCGTTCTGATTGTTTAGCGTCATTCTTCAAAAGTTCGAGTAATACGCTACCAAAAATGCAATTCTCTTTGTGCAAGGTTAATGCCCTCTTCATTAATGGGATATCCCGATGATTATTTCCCAATCTGAAAGATAGCTTTAATAATTTGTTGCTGGGATGATGCTTGTCAATTACTATGCATCTCATCACACTTCATGCGAGGGATGGTAATAATGTTTGATGATAAACAAGAAGCACACCGGTAGACTGACATTTACACATCTTAGAGTCAGTGGTGAAGATGACATGTTTGCGATTTCATTCATTCGCACACCTGATATGGTCTCATCAATGCTTCTTCATCAGTCTTAGCACGAATTCTTCATTGCGCAGATTAGATTAATCATTTCAGTGATTGTATATGAATGAAGTTACGGATCCGCTTATAGCGCAATCGTTGATGCGTAAAAAATCGGAGAACATTATGATTTTAGGTCGAACGAAATGTGATGGAGGTGCACAGAAACGCTTTTTTGCATAGTTATTAAGCTATAAATGCTTTGCAATTCAATTTTTTATATTCAGTTATATTCGTTATATTCATGATTCAGTGTACATTCAAAAATACCCTTGGTTATATTCATGATTCAGTGTACATTCAAAAATACCCTTGGTCAATATCTCCTATAAGAAGTACAGTTTTTGTTAACCACGTTTTTCTTAGGAGAATTAACCGAAAGTACTATCCCGGAGTTTTTGTCTAATTAATAGAACCTGCCTAATTGATTATTTTGAAAGAATCTATTACTTGGCTGGACGATCAATTTCTTTCCCACTTCATCCAATTTTTATGGTAAAACTTTACTTAAATTATTTTTCGGAATAATTTAGCAATGGCTCACGCTGTGGAGTTATTGGTTCTGGTCTATATGATCGGTTCATGTTTGACCCAAGACTTTGCAGAACAAGAGTTCAGTCCTTGTGCTTTCATCTTTCACCTTTCAAACGTATCAGTTGATTGTATTACATATCAAAAGAACTTCTAAGCCATAACTCTCACTGCATTTATTGGAATCGGAAAATTGAAAAATTCCAATGAAAGATAGTGTTAAAACGGTGAGTGGTGTGTAGTTCGGCACTTTCCATTTATATGATTACAAACTCTGAACATTCAGTTATGAACGATGTCCCACATCCCCGCGCTTTCCGAACAAAACTGAAGAAATCTTGCAATAGAATGGAATTTGCTGAAATCATACCAGACAAATTATGCTCGGGACTGGTTTAGTTATGATACTGCATTTATTCAGAACCCCTTATTGGCTTCAACAAAACATGTCATTTACTGTTTATTCATGTTTTGATCTTTCATCATATTTTGTACTATAAGTTTTGGTCGAATGCTCTGCTTCCACACTTTCTATCTCTTTTCTCCCATTTCAAATTCATAAGTTAGACAATGGAAATAAGCAAGGAATTTTAATGCATTTGCGCTCAATGATCTATCCTGATGAACATATAAGTGTTTGCAATTGAAAACTTACAACTGACCCATGTATCAACAAAATTCAGTAAGCGAAAATACTCTTCAAACTGTGTACTTTTCATCAATATATTTATCAACTGCATATAAAATGAACGTTCAAAAAATAAATTACCGAATAGCTATAGCTTATTCTTTATACAATAAATCTTATATTCATTATTAACACCTACAACTTTACCTAAAGACTTCCAAGCATCCTTCCAGTTGTCGTGAAAACACGAAATATTTTTACAATGTAGAAACACAGCAAATCTTCAGAGCACTTTTGTGTTATAGAAATATCTTGGACAAATAAAATAAAATTGTCAGATAATCGATTTATTAAATCAAGATGAGAGCACAGTAGAAATTTACATTTCCAGTAATAAATCTTTTGTTTAACTCATTGAATTAAACAGGCAGATCCGTTTATTATGGGATCCGCAATTCCTCCAAATGTTGCAAACGTCTTGTATTTTTAAATTAATTAATGTGCTTTTTAGTTAATTAGCGTCCTGCTTTTAAGGATTCCTAATTAATTAAACATTTGCGCACCAAAGACTTTACAAATTGTTTTTAAATGTTTTACAACTTGATCATTTGCCTTAATATTGTAAACTCCAATATATAAGGATCAATGAGTAAGGATCTAATTATCTATCTAGATATCTATCGGCATTTGTTCCCAAAGCCGATTTTATCGCTCAATAAACTGTACTATTGATTCTGGGCTACAATTTCAATCGAATAAAACAACTTTCAACAAGAAAAACAATTATCTCCCAAAAATTCTCGTAATATTCGCTTAACCGGCTTATAACGTCTAAGTAAACATTTCTCCATCGAACCTTTATTATCGCTGTTGGACTGTGCCTACAATCAACTCAAAGAAAATCCTTTCGCTACATCAGTACCTACTAATGCTAACTCTGCTATGACTTCATACTCAGCCCTTTACTCAAGCTTCGCAACTTAGTCCGAAGAACCTCGCTAACGGATCGTTATTGAGGGAAGTGGTGGGAGACTTAACTTTTGATCCATCTCGAAACTATTATTAAAAGTGACTTGAACTATTCAAGAAGTTATAAACACTCACTAAAATAACACGAACAGACTTCAATGGCATATTTCTGGAGCCAAAAGCTATATAAAACTATACAATTTTTGTACGTTATAAAAACCCACATGCGTGGATTCAACTTTGTAATTTAATTACTACAAATCTAAAAAGAGCCTGAACGCATCCAAAAAATTTGTTTGAATTAACGGTAGATAATAACAAGAACATCTACCCAATTTCTACAGTACAATGCAGGAGATCATGGATATTTGGACAGATGAAAATATAAATCTAAAAATTTAGACAAAGTTTGCGACTTGCTACAAAATAACTTCGTGGATTCGCACATTACTTAGCCCTTGTTTATCTAAAAGAACAGCCATAACATCTAAAGTGGATCTCATAAGACTGATCCTAATCGCAAAAATTAAAATAAGAAATTTACGACAGTAACTACTAACGAACTTTATCAGTTTAGATAAATTTGAGCACTGCTTCAAATCCAGAACCAAAAAGCATAAAAATAATGGATGTAAGAAAATCATAAAATTCAAGTGTTTTAATTAAAATGGGTCAAATTAATCCGAATTACTGAAATTTATGAACTGGAAACCTAATATACGAGATAGTTATGAAATACAGGAAAATGAAAAAACATGCATAGCTTTCAAAAATTGAAGTTTAATGGTGCAAATTAGATTCTTTCTTGTTTCACACGATGCTTTCAAATTAGAACTAATCGTTTTCAGTAAAAATTATCTTTAATCAACAATGCTTCGGATATACTCCGTAAATCTCATCTCGTGAAATATGAATCATAGATATATTACTTTCAGCTTAATTTCTTAAAACTTAAAACCCACATCTCACAGTTTTCGGATACTAGGTTTCCAGTTCATGAAGGTACCTCATTATATTACAAATATTCTAAAGTTTCAAAACTTTAAGGAATAAAACTATTGTTTTCCAGCCGCTCGTTCTTTTTCTTTCTTTAAACTCCGCAAATAGCGTAGAGCTCGTTTGGCTGCCGTACATTTAGCTATCCGATAGCTCCTACCCATTCCAGTGAAACGACATTTGCCCTGGATATCAACTGTTACACGTACTTTCCCCGTTTCCAATATCCTCTCCAGCTTCCTGCAATAGAATTACTTTTACCAACAAATATAGGAAAGTAATATTTAATTAGCAACACGTATACGAACTATTTTCCACATTTTTTGTGCTGTACTACTCCAGTACCAACGACAACTAATTTTCCCAAGAAAATGAGTCCAAATCAGTTTAAATTTAAATCCCTGATTCCTCACGTAAATTATAAGAATTTTTGAAAAGCAACATTGTCTTGAAGTTTTCTAAAACTCAACTAATTTTAAACCACCTGACTAAAGAAAAATCTGAATGAAAAATTTCTAACCTATATTCTAAACTTATTCGTGTACACTTTTAAATCAAGTTCTGAAGTGTTAGATCTATTTATGAACTTATTTACGCTTTGAAATATGCTAGTTCGGATTAAAAAACTTGAAAATCAAAGATGGTCATGTAAACGACTGGAATTTAAAATCTGCCAGAACAAAAGAGAAAAAAAACATACGAAAACCGAGCCCGTTCAGGTTCCATTTCAAGCAGTTCACGAATCGGTGAACGTGGTGGATTACTACAGCATTCGTCTATGGTTTCCTTCATTAGGTTATAAAAGACCCTCCACACAATGTCTAAGCTTCGTCCACTATCCTGAAATTTGCAGTTATGAAAAACGGTGCTATATAAAAATGAGATTTCACAAAATCTTTTTAGAAAAACAAAAATTTTATTAGATTTAGCAATTGTAAGTATATGAAATTAAGCAGTCATAAATAAAAGCAGAGAATGTTTGAATTACCAAATAGATGGCTCCAGCTACCGACTCGAAAATATCACCCATTGCTTTTGGAACTTCAATATCTTCTTCCTCACCCTCATCAATTTCTTCTTCGGTTGTCACCATATACATCTATAAATTTTAAAAATTTAATTGGGTTTTTAATTTTTCGACGTGGTCTACCCATCTTGAAAGCACATAAACTTTGTGACTTATTATGTGCTCCCCATGTTAATTAGAGCTGCATTCAACTTAGAATCATTTGTTATAGTACAAGAAAAGCAAAATTTGCTTCAAGTTGTTGAAGGAAAAATACCTCTTCATTGAAATTTGCACTCGAAAGATTTTTTTCCGTGCATAGACAAACAAATTTCTCGATCATATGGTGCAGCCTAGGGCACATCGCGATAAAATGCTTAAACAATAAAAGTGCAAAATTGCTGCAGTTAGAATTTGATGCTACCTACTTAACAATCTTTTCAGGTAAAAAATGTCTTTTATGTTTTTTATTCAGAAATGTTTTTCATTTCACATGTTTTTATGCAATAAAAACATCCAGAATTATGCTAGGCTATCTTGGAAACGACTATGCTGAGCTATCTTGGAAACTCATGGGATATAAATAGGGCATTTTTTTAACAAATCTAAACATAAATAATGAAGCAGAAGTACCTTATGGAAGTTATGCTTGATGGCTAACGATGCAAAAATAGTATTGTTGACAAGTGCAGAACGAAGGTCTGTGAGAACACCCGGACTGTAATGTGATGAATGTTGGAAGAGGAACCGTGTGATAACATAGTCCAGGACGGCATCACCAAGAAATTCTAAACGCTACAACAGACGAATTTTTACAGAGGAATATTAATAGACGAATATTTAATAGACTGCCTAATTCTTAGGTAAAAATTAAGTGATTGGAGGATTGATCTCATTTCAAACCGATGTATGGAAGAAGCCGTAATAATTGCAACAATGACAGTGAAAGACTTACTACAGCAAAATTTCGTAACTTAACCAATTAATAAAAGTACCTGATAGCAGCCCGTTATTCTGTTTTTGTAATAAGAAGCATGCGTAAATGCTTGTAATAGATATGCCCGGTCATTGAAACGATAGCCGATAAAATCTTCCAGTTTTGAAAATTGAAATTGTACCCATAGATCATTTAACTTTCTCAGCGATTTGTCTGGCTGAAAGTAACTGGATTAACAATCAGACATATATTCATTCAAAAACTTCTTTGCAGAAATAAATTTTTCAAAAACATGACTTCTTATACCTCTGAATAAAGCAGAAAAAAACAAAGAAGATACTGATAACTGAAGGGAAAGTTCTAAAAATCAGATATTAATCGTAAAAGAATAAAACAAACTGCTTGGCGAAACTGTAAATCAACTGCATGACCGTAAAAGGAACAAAATGCAAAACTCTCATTAAAAATAGCATACAGCACACTTATTTCATCAGGTAGGAGTACAATTAAACAAAATAAACTCTTTTATCTCAGCAAAAAATAGCATGCCGATTACCTGTTCAGTTGTGTCAATGAACCGCAATAGCGGTGGTTCCACTTGCACTGGCTCTGTAAGTACTTTTAATCCTAGCCATTTCATGAATCTTAACGTTGCTGTGGGACCTAGTTCCAAAAGATGAGCACCAATTAAAGATTCCACTGCATCAGCAATTGATTTGTCACCCAAACTTTGCTGTGTCAATAGATTATACGGCAAAGGCGTAATCTCTTCACCATCCCAACTTGTTATCATATTCTAAAGTACAATTGACTGTATAGGATAGACAAAGACATAAAAAAATATAAGACGTGAAGCGACTTGTTCACAAAAATGTTAAAATGACTCAAAGAGTTTAAAGGAATAACGACATCGACATCCTAATGTTCTCTCCAGAGTCCTTATCCATCCACATCTCGTGTATCCATAATCCATGGAACATGTGCCAAAATTAATGCAAAAATATAAAAATTTTAGTTGTTCAACCACCGTTTTGAATGCTCACTTTTGGAAATTCGATAGTCTCGATACCATCAGCAATGCGTCGAACTTGACTATTTCTGTCAGCTTCATCCCAACCTGTAGGTACTCTCACCTGAAACCCCAATCTTGACAGAACCAAGTTATCATTCATACACACCACCTCATATGGCTATTGAAATTTGGTTGTACACAAATAGCGACCTAAGCTTTTTTTTAACTGGAAGAAATCATGAAATTGGTCATTTTGGATGGTAAAGAAAATATGGCGATCAAAAAAATAGTGAATGTGGAAAAGAAGTTTATTGCGGGAATAAAAAAAAAAAACGAATCCCCCATTCCTTGTCTTGGTACCATAGACAGGAAGATTACTGATGATAAAGCCACACCGGTTCCTGTCTTTCGACTGTTTTCCCTTCAAGAACATTTTCGATGAACTTGTCACGTTCTTCTGCATCTAGTGTATTCGGTGCTTTGAAGTCTGATGTTGGTGCGTAACTGAATTTCAACGAATTTTTTGTTTCAAAAAAGCAAAACTATGACTTGAGTCGAATACGGACAAAAAAATAGAAGAGATGGATGATTGTAAAGGAAAAGGTAATCACACACAAGAAAAAGTCGAGTAAAAGTTCCTCATTACAAATACAGAAAAAATGGATTCGATACAAAACACAAAACTGTTAACAGTTGAAAGATCTCAATTTGCACAGCAAACAGGAGAAACAGCATACAGTTTTTGATTATTTCTAGTTACGAAAAAAAAGCAAAGAGGGAATATAAAAATAAGAACTCACCATGGAGGTAACCATCCATCATTTGGATCAAATTTTGAACCAATGATTAAAGAGGGAAGATTGTGCTTCCTTCCCAAACGATATAAATTACAATTTGATACCTGTAGAAGTGAAACCGGTATAGAATGGTAATAATACCAGCTTTTGAGCAACAGTGAATCTAATTCGTCTTTGGAGTAAGGTATTCAGAGCATAGATAAACATTTCAACTAAGTGTAAGAAAACAAAATGAAAAATGCCTACTGCAGATTTCCAGCGAACTAAATATGTATAAATAATAAATTGTGAGATCAAAAAAATCTTGCCAACGCCTCGGGATATTATTAAGCCAGGCAAAATGTAATTTTGAGGAAAAGCATTAATTTACAAAATCAATGGAATTAGTAAATAACCTCCTTGCTTCTCGCAAAGCTAAGTTTTCCCTCATGTTGCTCTGGGTTGGTGTGAAACAAGTAATCAGTTACGGCATATTTCAAGAAGGAATCACCAACAGTTTCGAGACGCTCCAAGTTGATACCATCCGATGCATTCGACAGTGTTAGCGCCTAAAAGAATGTAATTACAAATCAACTAAAAAACGCAAACGAGAATCACCTCTGTCATGATTAAAACAGGTTAAATCAACCATCCATTAGTTTGACAGGAAAGTAGTCTTTGTAGCGGCGATTCTATACAAGATGAGAAAGTTAAGTAAAACAGAGGTTTGACAAATGATATTTCAACATATAAGACAGTTATTTCATCAGGGTTATCAGAATTATTCCCCTCGGTCCTTCCATTCAACAACCAAAGAGCGTCAGTAATCTCCTAAGATCCGTCAGTTACCTTTCCAAGAAGTATTTCAAACAACCACCACATGAAATCTCATTAAAAACGATCCATATATTCATATAATTCATTCTTATAAAATAACAGCTTGCTTCTGCTGTAAGTACAAACAAAAATTTTCGGACAAAAACTCTGGCGATAAACAACAAACATATTATTCTGGATACCAGCTAATCAAGATACCTGCAGCAGGGTACATGGAGAGACACCGTCTGGATGATCATTGAAGGTATCCTCCTCGAACGAAAATGTCATCCAGTCGAGGACTGGAGCACTTATTTCTTGCTTAAAAGATAATTTCACCAAAATGGATCTTAAAGCAATGAACAGCAGTAAAGGCAAATTTGCGGCCGACTTATTAAAACAGTGTATAACGCAATATCTGAAGAAAAAAGATTAAATTGCAGTCTAGTCTTCACTAGAATCACTCCATACTTTTACAGCAAAGGGTATTTGCGCTATTACTTGGGTATAATTGAAAAAAAAAAAGAAAAAATCAGACAAATGATAGCAAATCATTTTCCTCCTACCTAAGAAAGCATTTCTGCTTTATTCCACAGTACCCCTGTTATTCTCGTTCTCAAAGGAAGCGATACGATTAACTACTACGGACTACCTAGACCATGATTCACCAACCAAGAGGTGTAAAAAAGAACACTTGGATTTAGGTTTTTGTGTCAACAAGAGCATTGCAAGACTGTTCTATGGATACAAAGAAGTGGGTCGCACATTAAGCTGGAACGAAACTATAAATACCTTAATACATGACTTTTGATACGTTGCAGTCAAGACTAGTTTGACGTTGTAGGTTATTTGAAGCTCTTTGATTTTTTTTAAATAACTTGAAAAAACCTTTCTATTAACTTCATACGCATTTGCCGTTGAACAAGCCAATTTTGCAACATCACTATTGTGCGACATTTGCAAAAATAATTCTAAATCGCTTGATGATCTTACCATCTCTTCATCCTGAAAAGCATAAAGAAATTACATATTATAAAAAAAAATCGAAAATAATTAGTAATCAGTTAAATCGCATGAAAAGTTGACAGTAAGGATTACAGTCCCCCATCATTCCACAGAAGTTCGATAATTTCGATTTTCCTTTAAAAAAAATAAATGATTTTTTAGCTCTTATACACTGTTGCAGCCTAGCTAGTCTACAAATACTATGCAGTCTCGACTATCTTCTATGTATCATACAGGAAAAAAGTCGTAATGCAGATTTTTTAATAATTAAAATTTACCATCAATTTTCCGTCTTGATGCAATGATATTTTCGTGGGCGAAAGCATTTCAACAGTATTTAATTCAACATCGGTATCCAGTAAACATCCTTTGAAATATCGCAAATCAAAAGGTAGTGTACTATCGTACTCTAAAAGCACTCAAGATGATCAGAAACATAAAGTGAAAAGAATTATTCTGCGATATAAAATTTGGAATAAGTTGAATAATTCAGAACATGTGACACTATGTACTTGGACCACTTCCTAATTTTTCTTTCACTATTTTATTCCTTTTATTTCTTAATGTATAGAGATCGTGGACTATTTATTATTCGATGCATTCGATAATATAGCACCGATACAAACCAATTATTATTTTAATGAATCAAACCTTTAAAGTTTCACTGCACTTGCTGCTAATAATAATTATTTGACATTTTACAACATGATTGTTTCTTCAGAAATTATTTTTGACAAGCTATATAATTTACCGCTAGACACGATTTCGTCTATCTCATCACAAAATTCGATTAAATCAATACATTCTTCTTGACGATTTGATTTTAATGAACCTCGATCTGAATCTTCCAATCTTTCCAACGAATCGAGGTATAACTGAGCAGGCTAAGAGTTAAAAATAGTTTATAAACTTGAATACGAAGTACCAACAACAATGAAAGATTCCTAAGTAAAATAAACTATCGAGATATTCTCTCCTATTCAAAATCCTTGATCATCGTTTCCATTTCAACACACATTTGACAAGCTATACAAATCACCCTTAGATAAGATTTCTTTGTCTTCGTCACAAAAACACAGATGGAAACTACAGATATTTTCCGTGCAGAAACTTTTTTCAGTTCAAAGAGATGCATACATACTGATTTTAGCTTGGATTCTACTGGACGAAAAACTCCATGATCTTGTATAAACAATTTCTAAACCTTTCTAGCAATCGAAGGATGGTGTTGCTTCTTCCCATTTTTCATAATTTCCTTTTTTACATCAACACTGCCTTGGTTTGTTGTGTCAACTGCGGCTAGAGGTAATGCAGTGGGCATGTTCAGAAGCCAACTCATCCGCGACAAATCGGCCATTAAGCCTCGACTATCGATCTGGGAATCTCCACTATTCACAGACTGGAAAAAGAAAAATTGGATCATGTAGAACTGTTATGACGATGAGGCAGTCCGTTTTCATCGAACTACAAACCATCGTTATCATATGATAAACGACAACTATAGCCTAGTAGTTTTGTCAACATCCTAATAATCACCAGTCATTTCTATTGTAAATTCTCAACCTCAAGAAATTCATACTTTTATTTAAAGCATGAATTTCCCAACTTACTGAAGTCTCGTAAAAAAAATTAATTGAAAAACTATCCATTCATTTTCCGTTCCAACTCCAAAACGGTTTAGGGTAAGCTTCAGTTTCACTACCTTCTGTATAACATTACCTACTATAACAAAACGACTTGCTATTTCTTTGTTATCCAAGATCTATTTGACACTCTTTTTGTTAGCTTCTGCTGCAGATGCATGTTTTTGCATATAACCTATGCATATCTTCCATATAACCTATTACTTGAAAAGATCTTTTTATAAGGAAAAAAGTATACCAATGGCATATTAATTCCATTGGGTGCTGACTCTTCTATAACAATCAGATCATCCCAGCCAGATGATGTGATGTTCTCTCGTGGAGCAAATATATCGCCACTTTCTTCAATAACATTTAAGAGCAATTTGAAATAAACTACTAGGAAAATCCATGAAATAGCTTTTATTAATAAAAACTATCGAGTTAGGCAGGTTGTTTTACATAAAGAAATGTATTAATTTGTTTGAGTAGACCACACAGTTAACAGTTTCTAACTTGATTGATTGCAAGGAAATTTCCCACTTCATCCCACATTAATCTAAAAAGTATCGTTAGGCTCCAAAGAATGTAAAAATTCAAAAAGTTATTCCGGCTCAAATATTTCTTATCTCGAGAACAAAATCTACTTCCGAGGCGTTCATGGACACTGTTTATGAAATCGAATAGCACAATGGCATCTTCATCGTCATCATCTGACATGTCACCATGTTGTCGTAGGGTGGAACCATTCACCATAAGACCCAATGCATCTCCCTGAAAGAAAGCTCCTACTTTTATTGCTGATTACTTTATTCTGATAAAAGAGAACCATTTTACAAATGCTTTACAAGAATCCATTTGAACTTGAAATGAAGCCAACTAATCTTGGCAGCACGCACGAATATAAAAAAAATAATTTTACAAACTTGAAACGGATCACTGCAAAAAATCATGAAGCAAACACTAGCTTAATTTGGAGGAATACCATTGATTTTGAGAATTTAGGGTGTTTACACGCTCTTTTCATTCAAAGAAATAGTGCGTTATTAGCACATAGGGAAACAACATAAATTTCAAATTCTCAAATAAGGAAAGTGAATCATACCAGATTTCATATTACTTTCCATATTTTTTAAATTTCATATTACTTTACAACAGTCCGAACAAGCGAAGGATTTCATGCTTTTTTTAAAATAAAATTCCTGGTTAGCTTACGTCAATATCTTCGAATCCTCTAATTTCATCACGTCTTCCTCTATTCGGACAAAAACCTTCTAATCCCTTCGCAAGCTCAGGATCCCAGACGCCAATTTCGAAATCAGCCTAGAAAAGAGTCCAACTAAAATTCTAAATTCTTTCAATAAGTGAACCGTTTGAGAAAGATCTCAACACTCTATTATGAATAAAAATGAGAACAAAGAAAATGCAGCTTCCAAGTAAGACTTAAATATAATCGAAAGCGACATAGAAAGACATGTGAAGTTTTAAAAGGTTCTTCCAAAATTTTTATAATGGATGATAAATAAAACTAATCTCCGTTATAAAACATATTTTTGTATAACAAAGAACGTATTTTTGTATATTTTGTTAAACACATTTTTGTTTTTCATGAATAAATATGAATTGAGTAAAAACAGATTATGTAACTAAATAATGGCGCATATAGTCAATAACTGAATCATTTTGGCCCATTTTTTTTAAAATCCTTTTACGTTAGTCGTCACTACAGATCCAAAAAGTGTGTTTCATAGCACATTGAAAAATGAAATAAAAATCGTTACCTACCAAACTACACATTATCCAATAATGATAGTTAACATGGCTAATAGGCTATATTAAGCATACATCAATAAATTTGAGAAAAAGTAAAACAAGAACAAACAAACTTTACCATTCCAGAGCCAGAGTCCTTTGCGTCGTTATTTTCTAGACTTTTCTCTTCCACTCTATAAAAACAAAACAAGATTTTAAGGAAATACATTGTTCGCTGATGAAATAGTTATTAAAACAAATAATGAATAGTAATGCGACAACAGTACACTTTACAATGAAAACGGAAGAGAAAATGAAAGGTTAGGCCATCGTCCAGTACTCTTTGCCACATGTACTAACGTTGCTTCTCACAGTTCTATTAGAATGCATAAAAAGAAAGAAAAATGCACTGTTTTTTTAGATCACAAATCCTTTGCACTGGTTTCATCTCCAGGTCATCCATAGGCGTTGGATAATCCAGTGGCATCCAATATACGTCGTCAGAAGTTCTATAGTCAGGATTAGAAAACGCTTCACGCATTATCAACTCACGCAGCTCGTCCGCTAATAACAGACTATTGATTCTGAAACTATCGATAAAGTCAACACAAACTGAAATGAATATCAGAATTAAAAAAAACAATCGTATTCTCATACAATTTACAAAAAATTTTTGAGCTCCTTTATCGCATCCACCGAAATCTGCAAACTTCTACGACAAAAAGATATGCTTACCGATAAAGAAGCGTTGGAAGGGCTGCAATAACATTCCATAAAGAAGCAGCAATCGGATGTACATCAACAAGTTCAGGTACCAAAATTTGTCCTTGTGACATCCCGCCACTTTCTGAGCCTCTTTCTTCGGTAGTCCGATTTCTTGAGCGTGACCAGTGTCGAGGCATTAGAAGGTTTAAGCGACTATAAATGTAATGTTAAATTAAATTGAACAAAGTTTTCAGTAGCATCAAGAGTTTTCTTTTTAATTGGCACAAAATAACAACAGTATTTGAAAAACTTCTTTTGTTTTCTAAGGCGAATTTTTAATAGTTTATCTAAGTTCCTTATTTGGGATTCCAGTCTTTTCTCACAACCCGCATCCCGTTTCCTGCGAACTAAGAAATGTTGGAACTCATTTATATACCTGTTGTTAAGAGCTATACCTAGAAGTATAATCAACATCAAGAAGTGGTTGCTCCTGGTCATAAATAACGATGCCATATTTCTGAATGAAATAGTCATTAAATGTTGCAAACTTGTCATCCGGAAACTTGGACGATGGTTTAGCATCGATTATCTGAAAATCGCGGAAGTCAATAGACTAATGATTTCTCAGACTGAGAGTCTTTCGTTCTGGCACGGAACAATCGAATAACTCAGACTACATCTAACTCATAAGAATTTGTGATACTCTCAAGTATGAGTGGAATTAGTATAGCGGTGTAAATGCCAAAGTCGCTAGAACCGTGAAACCTGATTCTTACCTCAGCAACGTAGTAAAATGATGGATGATCTCGGTCCCGATACCACGGCATAACAACGGCATCCTGAAAATTAGCTGCATCGAACTTGAAAGCTCGTCTTTCAACTTCCGTTGGAATTCGCGGCAATTCATCAATCGATGAAACAACATTTCGTACATATGCGTAATCTAGCTTGAAATCCACTTCATTGGTTTTATTGTTTCGTTCTGAGATTCAAGAATATGAAATGATTGCATTTTTCGATTTATTAAACATTTGTACAGAATATAGTATCCCATAATCTTAAACATTTGTACACAATATAGCATCCCATAATCCAAAAAAAAATCTCCTTTGTCGATAATTTTTGACGAAGACGTCAAACTGCGGAAAAAACTGAAGGAACCCGTTTTTCAATATATCAGTAGAGGACATCTATTCTTCTAGACGAATTCATTCCATCCTTTTTTTCATTTATTGATGAATTCGCTTAATCCCTTTTTTGATATCTTCCGTGCTGCTCCGATACTTGAAAAGGGTATTTATAGAACGTGCAGCAAAGGATGGAAAAAAAATTTACCACGTCGAAGTGGGACCACCAAAACATTGACTGGTGCCTTGTCAGGAACAAAAACTAGGCCTCCTTTCACCAGTCGGAGAACATTATCGAACAAATAATGATGGAATGCCTTAAGAAGCTCCAACATCTGAGCATCAACAAGAAGACGTGATTTGACGGGAAAAATATTCGCCTGCATACGACCTTGACGCAGAAATAACGGGAACGATGGTACCTTAAAAAGAAGTGAAATTTGGAATACAATAAATTTTTGAAATAGAAAGATGAAAAAGAAAATGATGAAGTACACTTCAGAACGCTCACTCTTATCACTTTTTTGCTGCTTCAGACTCATTTCAAAAAAATTAAGTCACTATAAGTTTAATGACCTTGTCATCCTGAGACTAATTTCTCTCACTGAAAATTGAAAAGTCATGTCAGTTACTCTCAGTCCCACCAATTTCAGGTTATCGGATAGATAAAACAGGCAGAAGAAATTAGTGAATAGAAAGTCGCTACACGAAAAATAAAGATCAGATAATTATAAACCCGCTCAGGTACCCAAGATCTTGTCCTACTTTTGGTATCTTTTTATTGGAAAGGAATCCAAAGCAGAATTCAGTATCCAATGGGTTTATAATTCGGCGGTTTTTTGGATTCGCAGCACCAGTTACTGCTTTGACGAGATCCATTTCCATAACATAGATGTAGCATTCTTCATCAACATGTGGAATTGCATTGTGCAATGCCTTTGCCATCTGAAAAAAATTGAAACAAAATGGATCCCTCGCAAGGAATTAAGGCAAATGCATATAAGCCATAGTAATGTGAAATAAATCTGAATTTTTAAGGTGTCTTTTTCCAGTGACGATGGATTCAATAAAAGGATAAAAACCTGAGATAAATTAGTACATAGATATGCGTGTTCAGTGTCATGTAATAGTATTCCTGCAGCATTTGAGACCCACAACCCTTAATTTAGTACTCTTAACCAGAAAGGATTCAAAACAGCAAGAAACAAAATATCTGAAATTACTCACTCTCTTATCATATAATTGTCTCCTTCGAGCTGATCCAACTTTGTAATTCATATTTGGGATGAATTCATCCGGATCTTCATCAAGAGCTGTTAGCATAATAGTATCTTTACCAACCGGCAGTAGGTAATCATTCAGCTCTTTTCGTTTATGCAATCTTCTACATGCCTAAAACTTTCTTGAAAAGAGAAAATAACGATAAAAACTAATGCGCTTTTCCCGTAATACAATAAAGCCCTCGATCGTATATTTATCAATCAATACTGCTTTGAAACATGCGTAGAAGCAAAAGAGATACTAAAGGACCTAGTAAAACACATTTTGCTAATTCGGATACTCAGTTCAGCGAGATCTCTGGTATCAACCTCCCTGTGATTTACATAATATGTGAGTTTTCGGTGTGCAAAAGTAATAGAAATTTGAATAGGATATTCGCATTAGTTTTTCCGTCACACATGACATAAAAGCTAACTGGACAAAGATATTTACTTATAAAATGACTGGAAAATAGGAAATATAAAAGAAAAAAGAAGGGTGAAATGGAAAATGTAGATAAAACGTTTAGTACTGACTGTAACTTACTTCCAAAGCAACAGCCATTTGTGCAAGCTTTTTGCTTCCCAACGGTTTCTTTAATTTAATGGTTTCCTTGATCGGTGAATTAATAGGTAACAACAATTCTGCTCGGTACATCACATGATCACCTACCTAAATTTTATCGCTAAGTAACTTCAAGGTAGCAGCAAATGATCAACTGTTGTGGAAGCTTTCTACTACGAGAAAAATACAGTTGTAACTCAACGAGGACCTCAGTATCGCAACAAGATCAGCATCTGTTTATTAAGAAATCTTTGAAAGAATAACTTTACGAACAAATTTTGGGCTAAGTATGCATATCACACTATTCACTGTTATTTTCCACTCTAGTCGCTAGCAAATGAGAATAATTTCATTTATAACTACTTAACAAAGCTTAGTCATTATAAGCGAATTTCAGATAAATTATTTACAGTTTCTGGCACAATCGTATTTTGCGGAACCAAACGAGTAAATATGTCGCTGGGAAGTTTGGCACAATACCTGTAAATGAAATGCTTTAAATGAGGAATAAGAGAAAATCACATAACCATTTCAATCTCATGCAAATAACATCGAACTTCAAATCTCCGCTCAAAATACAAATCCTTTCCAAAAAGGACTCTGATAATAGCGTGATATCAAGAAGTTTAAAAATGTTTGCAGTGAATAAAAGAAGAAACCTGTTTACAAGGCCTATAGCACTAGTCAGGGTAACTTGCGCTCCAGTACTTTCAACAGTGTATGGTGCAATGATATCATCCATTGCTTCTATACTCGGTGAAATCGTTGGTTCTGGTGGATTATGCACATTCTGATATCGTTTCAGTAGCATCTTGAAGAAATTAGCAATTTTTCCTTTGTTTTTTTTGCAAAATTCAATCTTAGGTTGTGAGAATTATAGAGCATTTCTGGGAGTTCGAGAAAATATTCATAAATAATTAATCAAGAATTATAAAGTGAATTTTTGGGCCTTTTGCTCAGAGAAATAAACTATCACTGAAATAATGTATACTCTTTCGATTTGCAAGAAATCCTTCAAATCACGGGAACACTGTTCACGATCTCTTTCCTCAACTAGTAGAAAATAACTTGCACCGTCTTTTCGTGCTCTTCCTTTTGACTGAAAAAAATGATTTAAACGGACAAAAAAACTAAAATAGTTTTAGCTTATCACTTTCAAAGAATGAATTAAAGCTCTATGTAGTTTTCGCGAACAAATCAAAAAAGAATAAAACCTCGCTGCAAAAAGGTCTGATTTTTTTTCCAAAATTAAGCTGTAAAATTATTCTTAAGTAAGACGAAAGTTGAAATCTTAAAATATGGAAAAGGATACCATATCTTCTTTTGCCTGAAACGAAGTATTTCAGATTCCAAAACTTCCGTACAGGTAACAATTAGAACTAATAAATAATTAGAAGTCAATTGAATATGAATATTTACGTATTACATTGTCTATTAAAGAAATTGGTTGTTGTGATAAATAAAAAGAATTAATATTGATCAAAGCATGACTGCTACCTGCACATAAGCCCGGTAATCAGTAGGCCGATCGAAACGGATAACCACATTACACTGCCTCACATCGACGCCTTCTTCCAAAACACTTGTCGCAATTAACAGATTCAAATGACGCTGACGAAATTTGCGTAAAACCTGAAGTTCGTTTGTTCATAAAAAGTTTAAATAGTTTGTCGAATAAAGTTTGAGGTTTCACTCAAATAGAGGATGTTTTTTGGACAGCATACCGTATGTAAAGTAACTGCCGAAATAGAAATATGGATTGTCTGAACAATATTTAAGCAAATCGTCGAGAAAAGACGTATTTAGTTCGTTTCTTGAATTAAGTTAACCAAAATAATTTCTAATCTTAGTAAATATAAATAGATTATAGAATTATAGAACGAGACAAGCCTTTTAGTTGTATTCCTAGCCAAAACATGAATCAATTCACCAATGACCTTTTATATAAATCGAAGAAAAATTGGCTCACCAGTTCCTGCCTCTTATGCAATGCCATTGTTTCTTCTGCACTAATATTGGCGCTATTGTATCCGATAATGAAATCCGAAACCAGATACCCAAACTTATCACTGTCCCACCGTGATATTGCCCTTATCAGGGTCTAAAAAACAAACTGATGATAACAAACTGATGTTGAAACAAGAAGTTTCGAAGAAATTATGTAATAAAAGACAACCATAGTGCACAACGAAAAACAACATACGGAGATATGAAAATCTTACGTTTAACACGTATGCAACGTAACGTTGCTCCACAAAAACGATACCACAAAATGTGAAATCTGGATCCACCTTTTCCATATTCGAAGGGCTGTAGAACTTTAAAATTTCAAACAGCCTTGATAAACGGTCCGGCAGTATTGGTTTCATGTCGTTAAAACACCGTACGCTAGCCACTTTAGCATCCAGCAAACGTTTAGTGAAACGCATTGTTGTGTACGCCATTTGTAGGAAGATGACTTGTTTTTCAGGCAAGAAACCTTGTCCTGAATGTTTCTTCAGTTGTCGTTGAAAGAGCTGTAAAAACAACGGCTTATGATAGTTGTGATTGAAACGTTGCTTCATTTGAAAAAGTGACAAGGATTTTAATCCAATATATCTTACCCCAATCAGATGAAATATTGGCAGAATCTTTTAATGAGATAGCAAAATAAAAGGATTGGAGTTTTTGAATTTATATTATCTCCAGTCTATAGCATACACTATTTCTTTGATATAGGAGGAATTAATTTACCTGACAAACTTTCCATGCACACCATGGGCCCAGTTGTTCCAGAACAGACTTCGTTCGATTAACTGCTTCAAGTACGGGTTTCCTTGGATCAACGTCAAATTCCGGGTGGAATTCAGTACATTTCAAACAAAATGTACGCAAATTTTCCTAAAAAGTTCTATACTCGAAAAATTATAAATTTTAAGACAGCCCTATTTTTCCAAAGTAAACATTTATTTTCCAGTGCGATAGTTTTTTCATTTTTTGAAAATTGATGATTGAGAATAACTACACAGAAACACTATTAACTGCAACCGAGCCATCCATTTTTAATTACTAGAGTATAAAACCTCATGCAAAACTATCATCATCGCAAAAATAAATTATTTGAAGTGTGAAGGAACAATGAAATAGTTTAATGATGAAAATGAATAAAAAAGAAACTGAAAAATTTACCAAAGTATCGACAACTTTTTTGCTAATTTCACATGAACAACAGAAGAAATCGTGACACATGATAACATACTCTTTCGGTTTGGCTCCATATTTAGAAATCTGAATGTATTTTGACTATATAACATTTCCGGGAAGTTTTATAACGTAATCGCTAATGATGATCGATAAAGCTATTTGAACGTGTGTATTCCTATTCAAATTAGAATGTATTTCAGCATTTGAAAATGATTGCGACAAAGTAATTTACTTCGTAAAAGAGTTGAAAATGATAACCTACAGAAAGCAGGTCACTTGCTGTTTCAATAGAACTATACATGATCCTTTCCAATTTTTCCAAAAGCTGCTCTAAACTATTCGGTGGTATTTTGCTGCTGATTAGAGATGCTGTGAGACCGAGAATTCGAGGTCGATCCACTGTAATATAACATATTTTCAGTTCTTTATTACCGAACTACGTAAATATAATACTAAGTAAACGGACTCTACGTTAAGGATTTATCCACTTAGTGTTATATTTACGGCAGCGTTGCTGATACATGTTGCGAGTGAGAAAAAGAGCTTCTATGTTCGTCAATTCTTTACTATTGATTCTTCTTCCATTTCAGTTGAAAAAATATTTGAGAAAGTCCGGGTTAAAATATTGACTAAACTTATCTTAATCTCCAAGAATACTTATGACTGAACTGACTCGATAACTCGTGAGAATTAGTAATTACTTGTGATTTTTTTCCGCCATCAGAAAATACAAATACAGAAATACAAATTTACTTTAGACTTACTGTTTATTTAAAAGAGGGAAGCAAGTCAACTAGTTCCCTCTCCAAGAGTATCCACAGCCAAACTTTTATTAATAAACTGGACTTAAAACTCTTAAAGTGATTAACAAGAACCTTCAGTGAGTTGTCCATACCGATGCATGATTAATCTATACGGGTGTTTGCTACCTAATACATGATGACATTCATCGAAGATGATAACAGCAGCATTCGACATATTGAAGAAGCCATGATCAAGTAAATCCAAAAAGATTTGAGCAGTCAGTACCGTAACCTAGGAAGACTAGGATTTTAAAGCGTCTTTCAAAATGAAACGGTGTTTTACAATTAACATCATTTGCTCCTTAAATTTAAATTTTTCATAGCCATTAAAAATTTCAATTCCTACAACAACATCATCCAAACATCTCGAACAAAACCCTAGGGACTTACTTCGTGTAACGCAATGAATGCATCAAATTTGGCAGGTTCTGACCAGATATCCTGATTCAAATGTCCATGCATTTTGCCCACATTCAGTGTTGTATGATGTTCGATATGTGCTGCTTGCTGTCCAACTAGCGAAACTGAAAAATCACATAGTTTTGCACATTTCTTAAAGTTTTGTTAGTAAGTTACGATTAATAGTTAACTTAATTAATCAACCAATGGAAACAGTTACTTAGTGTAATAACTACATCGCACCTACTAAACATCGTTCCAGATTTTAAAATAAAAACTACCATATGTTTGTAAAATTTCCTAGAAACGCAAGTTTTCTCAAGACATCTAAAAGTGGGAATAAAAATACTTACCTTTATCAACCAGGAAGAAAGCTCGCTTCCCACCACTCTTCCATGGTATTACAAGTTTGCTTGTATACTCCTTGATTAGTAAAACAGCAATAAAAGTTTTGCCTGAACCTGTCCCGAGGGGCACAATAATGTTTCTTTTACATGCTTTATCCAGCAATTCAACCTTGAAAATTTGATTAAGATTTCCACACTAAATGAATTAACTCGATTACTAAAATCGCTGATTAAAATAATTGACTAGATTCGTATTGATTTACAACAATTCGTGATCTGAACAACAAATCTATTACCAGTACTTGAGCCCAAGTTAACGATACGTTCACTGGAAGATTGGAAAATGAGATTATTAAAGCAAAATTGGTAACATTTCATTTACCAGTAACTGTATGAATGCACAATAAACTAAAGACCACAGTATTTTAAACCGAAAATATTGTCCACTAATTTTACATCAGCCGAACAACAGCTTCCATCAGACAAACCATAATTTCTACTGACAAAGGGAGAATGTTTATTAAATTTATTCAAAAATTTGAAGTATTGGTACCTGATAGTCTCGCGGAGTAAAGAAATTTTTGTCCACATCACTTGCTCGAACTACCATATTTCCTGAAGTTTCTTCAATCTTTATTTCATATTTTCAAAAACAGATAACTTCACGCAACGAATATACACAGCAAAGTACATGGAAGATCATAAAAATAGAAATGAAATGAAACTTATTTGTCGCTGTACTTAAAAAACAACAATTATTTAAATGAAGTATAATGTCTCAGACATCTCGAGATACTCCGCGACAGAAAAGCTTCAAGTTCTTCTTTGTCCCATCGTAGAGCCTGTTTTTCTTTGAGACCAAACCGATCCAAAACTATTAAACGAAAAATAGATGAAAGAAGGAAAATTCGTCAGCATTATAAACTACCACTAAATGAAGCATTATGATGCTCTGCATTAGAACTAAATTAGGATTAAATCTTGTATCACAGCAGCGAAGTCAGCCCTGAAAGATATATTAACATAAATTATTATGAAATTAGTTTTCTTTGAAAAGACCAGACTGAATCAAGGAAATTTATTGTCGTTACATCGGAAATGACATAGATATCAGTTTGAACGGACAGGTATCAATTTAAAATAAGAAGTAAGACTTCCTCGAAGATAGGATTATAAGTTTCCAACAGCATGCAAATACAGGTTTACGGCTAAAAGTCACAGCACAGTACTTCCTTCTTAACTTGGAGAGTACTGCACTTGATATGGTGCTAGATATAGTTTGTGTATGAAGGACTAACTATCCTATCCATGCAAACTTCCCTCACTACAGTTTTATTCGACTTGCAAGAAACAGAAGAGGTACACAAAAAAAAGGACATCAAACGAGGTCCTGATAGCTCCTTCTAGATTTGTCCTTGTAGAAATAGTCCGGTTTTTCCTCCCATAATCCAAGATATCGTTCATCCCTCAGCTCATCCTGCTTGTAGTAATTATGTTTCTGAAGCAAATATTTAATTCGTTTCTGCAGATCATACCACCGTCGAGGTGAATTAATTTGCATTTTCTCCTTATGCAAATTACGAAAATGAATCAGCTTCACCAATTCGTTGGCTCGATGTTGACCTGGAAAACCACGAAGCCATGCTGGAACATGGTACTGCAGCTGAGCTGGGTGAATACTACCATCACCTAATAAATCGATATAATCATTTTCACCAAACCTGCAACAGTTCCCTTCACACATTATTACGAAATTCGAGTAATTGCGATCTTCATTCGTGTACTCTCCTCATAATGTGTTAGTTTAATGCAAACAAACAAGCATTAAATTCAGTATTCCACTGAATTTGCAGGATAGATTTTAAAACTGACAACAAATTAGTTTGAAATTTCTTCTCATTCCAACGATTACAACCTCTCTGCACCCGGCCCTTCGAAATATTCTTCTTAAATAAGTTCCGTGCTTAATTTATTTGCTTGAATGGTGAGTAAATAAGCTAAGGATGAATAAACTGTAAAAGTTCGAAATCCATTAATACCTTGCTTGTGCCGCAGACCAGCAATCGCGTACTTTATAATCAGGCTTGTGTACTGGTACCTTGCAATTCGGTATTCGCGGCAACGGGTCAACACCTGGTCGATGGTAACGATATTTATACCCAGCATCCGTTATTGGATGCATCTTTCCTTCTGGATCGTCCACAACTCGTGGAACAGCGCAACGATCGTGAAAACATCGCAATATTATTGTCTTGAGCTGACACTTTGAAGTGGACAGACGTATGTAATGCTGCATTTCCTAAACCTTCTTGGTTCATTTATTCGAAAAAGGCAGGCAACCTCCCGTCAAAACAAAAAATGAATTTGTCTCTGATCCACTCTTGCCAAACTGATCCAAACGCATGTTTTAAGTCCATCGAAATTATGCTGCTATATTGCATAATGGTTTTTAAACCTTCTCTTCTGAATTACGATAGTTTTGGGTCCTAGTTCCTATGGTTCACTCGTGATGGCATAAAAAGTGTTGCTTGGGTTGGATTGAATCCATGTTGTCCGTCGGTAGTGGCGTAGGCGTACGTCACATTATCTGTCCTTTCTATTTATACATGCATGCACGATGCACATACGTGCTTGACGTGTAGCATTATACACGTCTTCATAGCATGATGCAATGAAGATTTGTTGTAAAAGTTTTTCAAGCTAAGATGTGAAATATACGCTATACTGAATGCCCCGTAAATTGGAGAAGTTTGTCGCATGTTCATGCGTTTGCAGACCATCATTGCTTTACTTCTGCTGTATGGTGTTGCAACTCGTACTTTCTGCAGGTGCAAAGGAATGGCGAAAAAGTGTGCACCGCGAATGAGACATAATTATGAAGTAACACCGGGAGTTATGCGATTTTCCGCTGCACGAATGTATGCAAAACGTGGTGCGTATGCCAAGAAACCATACCCTGCTGTCGAGAAAAAAATAGAGCGCAAAACAAAATTTATTGTGAAACCGATTGGGGGCGATAAGAATGGTAAAGAACGGAAAGTCTTCATCAAAAAGCGAGTATGGAACTTTTTGCTTTTTAGGAGTTTTTAGGTCACTCTTCGTGATTACCTTTTCTCGCTTGATTCGAATGTGTTTACTTGACTAGTAGCCACTGACCTTGTGCTACTCAAATGTCGTTTCAAATGTTGTTCATTCATGTCTGTATGATATTTCTTGGTGGTACACTTGTTCATCATTTACAGGGATAGCTTAAAACAGCATATCATTTTTCATTTTTCAGGCCTTATCATTTTTCAGACCTTTTATTTACATTTCTGTTCGCAGATTTGTTTAACTTCTTGTCTGGAAGGTATAAGTCAATGATTTGAATAGTCTTACTCTGCTGAACCAGTTTTAGCCAAAATACGTGAAAGAAGGTAGAACTACCCGGCGAGCAAAACGGTCTCCGAAAAAAACAGTACTACGACGATCAATCACTCCTGGTACCATTCTAATTATACTCGCTGGACGTCATAAAGGAAAGCGTGTCATCTTTCTGAAGCAGCTGGAAAAATCGGGCCTCTTGCTTGTGACAGGTGATTTTCGGCTTCGTATTAGATGAATCCTGTTGATGTAAATGCTTTCAAAAAGCACTGATTTTTCCAGAGTGGACTGGTCAGTCGTCAGTGGAAGCTATATAAAAAGGATCTTTATTGGGTGAGGCTATGCTGTTAATCGTAAGCAGGACCTCAAAAAAGCTTCAACATTTTAAAATCCGGGAATTTTAATATTGAGCAATTCTGTCAATATACTTCTCAATTTATATCTTAGTTTATTCCAGGTCCGATGAAGCTGAATTCTACTCCATTACGACGCATAGCCCAGGCTTTTGTAATTGCAACAAAAACAAAAATTGATATATCAAGATTGAAACTTCCCGAACATATTAATGATACCTATTTTCGGAGGTTCAGTTCAAAAAAGCACCTAAAAAAGGCGATGCCAATATATTTGCACAAGGGACAACTGTAAGTCTAAATTAACTTTTTTTTTTTTTTTTTTTTTTGCAACTACCTTTCTTACTGATGATTTTGTTGTTGATTTTTCATCGGTTTTTTCGTGGAAAAGATTCTGGACTTCTGTATCGCATTCTGTGGTATCGCTTTTACAGAAAGTTAGAAAGTTGCGGCAATTTGGTGTCCCGCTTTACATAAGATTTTTATCAGTTATAGTCGACAATACTGGTGAATAATGGTCTGTTCACTTGCTTTAAGCATAGCTACTTTTAGTTGTTGATGTTTTATTTTTCTAGGAATACACTGTGTCGGATCAGAGGAAAGCAGACCAGAAAGCTGTAGATAGCGTGGTGTTGGAAGTGATTCGGGAACATCCAGAAAAGAAATATCTTTTTGGTTATTTGGGCTCCAGATTCGCGCTGGGCAAAAATCAGTTCCCTCATCAGATGTTGTTTTAATTTTAATTTTGTTTAACTTTTCTGTTGAAAATAAATGTTCTTGTCGAACCAGTATGTGTGAAAAGAACATGGTGCATCAAAGCATGGTACAGTGTGTTTCAAGTAAATCCACGACACATAAGTCGTAGATTCTTTGCATCAGTTTGCATATGCACTGCGTAAACAGATGTGGCTTATGAAAGTAGTGAGATTTTATTTATTAGGAACTCAAGATTCAGCTATCGAAAATGGTGTTATGAATAAATGGATTTGACGGTATGGTTCATTCGCAAAAGATATGAAAGTAATTTTGCTTTTATGTAGGACGGTTTTCAGCAGTATTACTGTTAACTGCTGACATATTACAAAGGCGAGGATCTGGTCGTGGACATCTAGTGCTGCAAGGATCTATTCGGGATTTTCTGGTGCAAGGAGAAACAGTAACTAGAGGTTAAGAATGAGGCATTCCCAGAAATTGTTTCTGAGTGAATTGACTCTGAGAATTTTTTGTTTTTGAAATGGCCTATATATGACTCATTAAAAGCGAAGCTGGAACTTTAAGGGGAGGAATAACGTCTATGAAAAAGTGGTGGTGTCAAACTCGATTTTCAGACCAGTTTTTTATTAACATTCATTGCACTCTTAAGGATTAGTTGCAAATGTTTCATTGAAGTAATGTTACTGAATTTCTTAACTGTATGTTATTCGTGCTTTTGGAAATAATTCTGCAGTCTTCAGTTCGTCCGCATCCTCAGCTGATGGCTGAAAGAAGCGAAAATGCAAAAATTCGTTGTATAGTGGGATATGTGCTCACGGAAGAGACCGAAAAAATTTGAGATAAGTAATGGCCATCACTAAGTGCTCGATATAGTGTGGTTTAACAATTAGAGGGAAGTATATTTTATGGTGCAAATGCTATCCAATTTCAATCTATCTCTCCCAGCTAGCTTTTTCCTGTGACATTTCCTTCTAAATAGTGTTCGCTATGAGTCTTTTGTCGAGAACTTGTTCATTTGGACAGAAAAGAACTTGGCAGAAAAACTTGAATTAGCTTACGGATTCTGGATTTGGAAATCCTCCAAGCGACACCACCCTGTCAGCTGATCTGGAAGTTGAAAAATCCGACTTGTCGAAAAACTTGAAGCGTTTTTAAAGATATTAATGCGCTCTCAAAAAGCAAAAATAAAAAGCTTTCAAAGGAAAAGTCACAGTCATTTTAAATTACGGAAGAAAATGAATGAGTAAATTACTAACCCAAAATTTTCTGATTCAGATGTTCGGTGGTCTGAAAACAAGAAGTGCTAAGTTTGGGCATACAGTAGATTATGAAAATAGACCTAGGGCATCGAGGAACCATTTTAAAGTTGATTTAATGACAGTATTTTCAAATATAAGGAAGAAATTAAATCATGCATAAAATTTAAAACTTACCACTTACGTTTGTCCGACTACTGAAAATGACGCTCAAAGATGTTTGTAAATGATTGATCTAAATTATTCGATGTGAAATTAATGTGAAATCTAGCCACATCCCGAATCTCCGGTTACTTAGTACTCTTCCTTCCTTTCCGGACTTCACTCCGAGTTGTCTGCCTTCAGAAAATGGGTCCTATCCTATTGTTTTGACATCGTTACTTTCTCTTTTCCAAACTCATTATGATGGTATTTAGAAAACCGTACGTACGTGGTATTCTGTTTAAATTGTATATTGACTATAACTTCAACATCAGCTGATGAAAGTTGTGAAACATCGCATGCCAATTTCCCAAGCGCATGATGCAAATTTGTGATAGCAGTTGTCTAAAATTAAAAAATTTTTGAAGCTCAGGAAAGATACTTTAACTAAAATCAAATTTGAAATATGCTCGTGAAACTTTGTTATATTATGCTGCTTTAAAACTTAAAAGCAGATATTTTAGTTTAGCAAGGAGTTTTAAGAAAACGCTTGATAATTAAAAGTGATAATTGGATAGATTCACCATAATACAACCAGACAGTGGAGGGTGATATAGATAAAATGCTTTGGAAAAAACAACCAGTTTACTATAACTTGCTGGAATAATGCAAATTAAGAGACACATTCTCTACCTTGGATTAACCATACTTTAACAATCAGGAGATTATCTGGAACATAATTTTCCACTATCTAATATCAATGATATCATTGGTATATTAATTAATCACTTATTGAGTATCTAACTTGTTAAGACCGCATTCGGTACTCTTGGAGTTTTAACTTCACAAACTTCAGTTTATGCATAGTGTAAGATAAGCTGTTATGTCCTGGTGATACAAACGTTCAGATAACTGGAACTGACAATATATGTCATCCCAATAAAAAGCAAGACGTCCTCGTACTTCTGCACAATTTTTTTTTTCGGTATGATTTTGATAAATCCGGTTTATGAGCAAAATGGGGTCACCCGGAATATTTGAAGCGCGTTGTATCCTCATATTACTTTTCCAGCAGAAAGGAGAAATGTATACATATTTCAATTTCTTTTTTTTTTTCTATGACCTATGGTTAAGCGATAAGGATGAAGTGAAAAAAGAAATTCGAATCAGACGCTTGAGTTTGAGTGCAGTTCATTGTAATTTCTGTAAATTTTGCTCTGATTAAAAATGGCCTCTTATTTACCTTGAACCTGTAAATATCACATTTCTTTCCGTCTTAAGAAAAACTTAAAAGGCTATAAACTACAAATGACAATTTCATAAATTTTTTAAATAATTGATTTTTGACGTATTATTCAATTATAAAAGTCAGTTAAGAAACTAGAAGTTCCATTCGTTTTCATTTCTTCTCTTTTTGTTATCAAATATTTTATATCAAATATGGGGAAGAATTTTTTCATACAAGGAAATAGATGCGCCTGAAAATATAATTAAAGATAAATTTTCAATGGAAGAAACTCTCAATGCTAGTGTTAGATCAATACACCTAATAATATATTAATTAGACTTCTGAGAGTTTTCGACTGATCCACGTGGTTCAGCTATGTTTTTGAGACTCTCTCCAACTTCGCGAGTCAGATGATCCTTGTTATTATTCAGCATCATTAATTCCTACTGTAATGAAACATTAACATTTTTGAAAGAGATCTGACAGAAATTCGAAGAGTTTTAAAAAACCATGAATACTTTTCTTCCTACACTGTTCTCTGAACTGCTTATGATGCCTTTCGGAACCCTTTTCTTATTCGCCATCCCCTAAATTAACATGATTTTTTAGAGTTGGAGTAAAATTTTCGGAACCGGTTTCCCGGACCTTTGTCTTCAATGTCATGATGGGAATACATCTTCTTCCAAATTCTTTCAATGTACGTCTCTCTATTCATTTTGCATTGAATTACTTCAACGACGGCACATTTTCTCTAAAATACGATGAATTTCCACGACGGAAGTAATACTGGTTGGTGTGCAAAATCTCGCTTTTCCTCTCAACAGTCCACCGCTTAATATGAACTGAAAATTCTGCGCCGAAATCCAATGCAATATTAATGGCAAGAGCAGAGAGTTGTATGTGACCAACGACGGGTAACGATCATATTTTCAACACTTTTAAAAGGTCCAAGGAAAGTTAAATGTTGAACGATTAGATTAAATGAATTGAACTGTTTGTATTGATCATCCCTGATGACCTTTATTGTATTGAATATTATTTCATCATATTTTTGTATATATTTAGCAGTTACGTCAATTATCTTTCAACATTTAAAAGAGTCCTTTAGAGGTGTCATTTCTTATTTGTTGTTTTTGATGGTAATTTATTTTCTTATTTACTTTTATTCCTTCCATTTTTATAGATCTTTTAGAAGATTCTATCAATTTTAGTTCTAAATCATGGTTAAGTTATATTATCTTATTATCAGTTTCCCATTCCTCTTAATCTTTCACTTCTGCGTCAGCAAAAGCTTTGATTTGATGATGAAAAATAAAATGTCCTTTTGCCATGTTGTTTTCCCTCCTCTTTTAATGTTTTTCATTCTTCTCTGACGTATGACCATAAAAACTGCCCATAATTAGTTCTGGGACTAGTGGGAAGAGGCGAGAATATTTAAGTAGTTAGTTTAAATTTTGAATGCAAGATCTCCCATCAGTCTACGTCACAAACTGTACTCGCTGGACCAATTTACGAGGAAAAATCATGAGGAGCAGTCCTTAGGGTGGGTTAGGCAGTTGAATGAAAGAGAGTGATGATCTTCTGATGCTCTCGATACATTTGAAAGTATGGATTCGCCTACCTTTCCAAGGAACAAGATTTGTTCAAGGTAAAGTTTTTGTGCTCAGAAGTTAACGCAGTGCAGGTCTCAATATCGCCTTCAAGTTAATAGCCTTACAAGGTCCAGACCTGAGCCTTGCGATTACTTTACAACTTCCTGAGGTTATTTTATCGGCTTTCCCAAGAATGAGACCTCATTCAATTGTCCATAGTCAGGCTAAATTGAAACAGTTTATTCTATTTTAAAATCCAAGATAAATCAAGTGATTGAAGAGAGGGAGATAAACGATCATTACTTCTTTATCATCCACTGTTGTTCAGATAATGATTAGCATTCTTGTCAGATTAACCCACAAAGAAATATAATTAATCATTTACCAAGTTTTAGAATGAAAATTCGACATAGCAAGTAACGATTTTGTATA